AAACTGCTTTTCATAAAGAGTTTAATTTGCTGATATGTTTTTAGTTTGCAACTAATTTTTAACACCTGTCAGTGCTAATCTTGATCTAAGTTTTGGTTATTGCCCAGGCAAGTTGTGTACCCTAAATCTCACATTTAGACCACACGATGGATTAAGTGTTCAATCTACAACTGCGTGATTCAATACAGGGAGGAGAGTGAGCAGCATCATGCAATTTAATAAAATTATCTTGGGAGGTTTCCTGAAGGAACTGTAGAGTGCAGAGTTTGTACCAGACAACTCTAACTGAAGCTAGTGTTTCTGTGACCATATTCATAGTAATTCCATTAATCTAGGGAGGAACTTTCCTTTTGGATCTGGAGGGGTTAGGGGGAACGTCTATCCATGTGCTGTAAGGCAATAGATACATTTTCCAAGAAACAGTATGGATTGAGGTTTGAAGATTTTCTCTCTCCATACCCCCTCCAGCCAGTGCTTGAAATACTTCCCCTTACCTTTCCTTTGAGGGGGTGGGGTGGAGAGAAAGCTCTCTATTTATATAGTTTGAAATGAAAATGACTTGTCTTTTACCTAATTATAATGTTATAATCTGAATTTATCCCAATAGCACTTAAATGGTTAGACTGTTGATAGATTGCCTGGGTTTCATTTCTCTTCTCAAATTGATTAATGCCCTTAGCTTTGTATATTTTTAACCCACCACACGACATCTATTGTCATATTGTCAAAGCTGCTTTTGGTTTTAAGAAGTCCCCGCCATGTAATAAATGTATGGAACTATATCTTATCTTGTTTATCTGACTTGCAAATTTCAGGTACTTTGTTAGAGTATAAATTATTTTATTATGTTATTAAAAATATTGTCTACTATAAAATAAGAAATATTTTCTCTTTGGAATCAACAAGAGGCTGAGAGCTATTTTTAACCTATTGAAATTTAAAATTTTTAATTGAGATAGTATTTCTCCATCAAATAATATTTCTCTTAGCATCCCTTTTTAGAAAGTCTAGACCTAAGGAATGATTTTAGGTAATAATTTGTATGATACTTCACAATAGACCTTTGCAATATAGGGTCTAATAGTAGATTGATTTGTTTCTGTGTCTAAGATGCAAAATACAATCAGCACTGTTATGATTTGTGCTTTAGGTTTTTTTGCGATTGATTTCAGTTGTTGAATGTTATCTAAAGGATCATTGTTCTGAAACAAAATTGGATAAAGAAGCTATAAAAGATAGAAGCTCATACCTTGAGTACCTAGTATAACAATCTGCAATGTGATTTTTTTTTTTTTTGTCAATTCATTTATTTGATCAACATCATAGCAGATGGTAACCCTATAAAGTATATTACCTTGTTTACACAAACATTAGAGCCTGTCTCTCTTGAAATAAGTTTTAAATATGGTCTTCTTTGTCTTATACCAGCACTTTCATTTCAGTTTGATTGTAAGATCCAATTTTTTTATTAGATGAATATTTGGACGTGTTTCTTCAGAATGAATACATATGTTGAAGTAATAAGGCAACAGGTTTCTTCAGCTTTTCTTCTAGAAGAGCTTGAAATACTCACAGCACCATCTTAAAAGTGACATTAAGCAAAGCCTTTTTAGGATTCAATGCAGAAAGCCAGAAAGCATCCTCGTGACTCCTTGGCCCGATCTTCCCAAGGTGAGTGAGGAACACTCAGCTTCTCCTGCAGCCTGGCCGGGTTCCCGGGTTTGGACTGTGCTCTGTCCGCGTGGCTGGCCCAGGGCAGGGGTGATGTCCTGCTGGTCCTCCCTGGGACAGCGGTGGTGAGTGCAGTGGAGGTGCTCTGTGAGCCAGACAGACTGCCAGCTAAATCCGCTCAAACAAAGATGAAACTTAGTGAATTACTCCCTGTTTAAAGTACACTGTGTCTGCTGTAGAAGTACCTGATTTTGATTGAGAACTATGAAATCAACTCAGGAGTCATTTCAATTACTTTCCATCCTTAATGCTTACTAAAAAAAGGAAGTGAGGGTAGAACCTTGTTGTACTTCTGTCTGCCTGATGCAGTTGTTGGATTTCCCCCTTTTTTTGCATCGTCTAAACAGATTCAGATAGTGCAGTCTTTCCCTGTGCAGCATGTTTTTCAGTACACTGCTAAGTGTCACAACTTTCCTGTGCCTTTCAACATCTGTGATGAATTAGTGGATACTGGAATTGGACACTGCATTTCCTTGTGGGAGGGGTTATATGAAGGGGATGATTCCCTGAGTTCTTCCATCCTGCTTTGTGTTTCTCAGGAAAATGCTTCAACCCTTTTGATGACACTTTTGCTTTGAGACTTCACTGAATTTATTGCCATAGATGACTCCTGTGTTCTTTCTTACTGTGTATTCCCTACCTCAGGCTCTCTTCCCATCTGGAAGGTGTATCTGATGCTCCTGGCTCATTCACAGCTTTGGCTGGATTAAAGCACGTGTTGTTTGTTTGTGCCCAGCCTGCTAGAGTTTGTCTGGGTCTTTGCATCTTGCAGTGCTTGGTTGTTTTTCATCTGTCATCAGTGGAGAAAACATTCAGTGTGCAAACCAGAACAACATTCCTGGAGCACCGTCTTAGACACATATCTAATTTCCTGGTTGAGTGTTGTTGGCTAGCCGGTTCTCCGCTCGTTTGGTGTGTGCCGTGTTGATGGGGTCTGAGGGCAACAGAGGTGTCATTCCAAGTCAAATCCAGGTGTCAAGCAGCAGTAAGTCAGAATGCCAGTGTTCTGTATGCACCGTATGAACTTCTTCCATGTAGCCTTCAAAGAGCTCCTGAAGTGTGAATACATGTGCTTCATGTGAAAATTCTGATTAAAGGACAGGTCTAGATGCAAGCCTGTTTTGGGCTTCTATGAAAAGAAAAAATGCTGCATGAAAAGGAGGAAAAAGACACCTGACAGGAAAAAAAGGAAGCGTATTGTTACTCCTGAGTATTCTAGCTAATTATACTGAGCTTTTTTAGAAGAAAGAATTCTGGGAACTATTTAGAAATTGGTTTTCCTCCTCATCTTAAACTGTTAGATTTTGTTTTAGAGCGATTTCTTGAAACAATTTATTTGCATAATTCCAATGGTAGAATTAGAATACAAGAATTTTCAGCTATACATGTGCTGATTTAGCAGAACTTTAACGTAAGTCCTTATGTCCCACTGACTGAAATTTTTAAATGAGTAACATGTTTTACTGATTAGGGGTCATGCATGTAAACACTCTATGCATAACTATTATCTACTGACATATTTCTCCCCCACCCCCCTCTCTTGTGTCCTACTATATATCTCTCTTGCGACTAAAGCAATAGAAGACTTGTTATGATAATCACTGGATTACTAGCACTGTTGTTTCTGGCAGAAAGGAGTCAGTTGTGCCAAAAGATTACTTTTGCCTTTGTCAGTGCCAGCCACGACTTTTTACTCGGCTCCTGAATCAGTTACAATGAAACAATAACAATGCTGTCAGCTGCAAAATGCAGCAAACTTCCCCAAACTGCTGGCTCAATATAGTGGTCGTTTTGCATTTTCAAAGAGCATTCTCCAGCCTTGAGGGTCTTTCCTGCAGCCCACAAAAGGTGTCTGTAGTTTTTATCTGTCTGATCGTACTGTACTTTCAGTTTAACATGCCTTCTGCAGGCTGTCTTTGTCAAAACAGTATTCGGTAGGTTCATAAAACGTATTTCATAAGGAAATAATGATTAGGATACTGTTACTCTGTAGGCAGTTATTGACAGTATTTCCTTGCATTTATTTTGTAGTGTGGCCTCTGAGATATATGCATAAAACTTTTATAGTTGCAGTATAAAGTCAGGGTTTAGGAATGATTGTATGGAGTAACTTGCACTCAACTCTTATTTATAAATTGTGACAGTTCTTATTTATAAATTATGACATTATAAAGCTTCATAAATAGTTTATCTTATACATCACATAAAGAATTTATGGTCTATATTAAAACTCTTTATGAGAGAAATTCGGCTGACAGGGAACTAATGAGTTGTGTTTTGCAGGCCAAAGTGTGTGGAAGTCTGCAATTTAGGATGGAAGTGTTCCACCTGTTTAAAAAAAAAATAATCTTGTGATACAGATAATTGGGAGCCTAATTACTAGAATAGTAACCTTATCCTAGATGAATGATTTGCTATAGGAATTCAGGTACTTTTGGAATTACTTGTTATGGAATGTGCTTGATTTGACCAATTAACTTTGAATAGAAGGTAATTGGAAAAAGTGTTGGCAACAATATTTCTAACTGTTGGCTCGATAATACATGGGATATATATTCTGATACTGAGTTTAAAGGTCTCCCTATTTTCTCCTTCCCCTTTCTCTTTTAAGCTGTAACCTGGATTTGCATAAAGGGAACTGATTCTAAAAGAACCGTTAAAAAAGTTAAAAAAGATCCTTCTCTTAGTAGGGCAGACACCATGAGTCTCTGTGGGGTGGGTTTTTTTTAAGCCATTGAAATATAACCAGTCTGTCTTGCCTTTCCCCCCCTTATGCTAAAATATCTTGCATGTCACGTAAATACCAAGTAGGGGAAATAATTTTGCACATTTTACAATACTTAAGCAAGAAGTGAGAGCAAAGAGTAGATAACAAGAATATGTTTCACAGTATGTGCTGCAATATGCAGCGCTTAAGATGCAGGATAAATTAGGCTAACATCATTGTGCTTGTTTTGTTACTCATGCTAATTTCTTATGGATTGAGTAGGGCAGACACTGCAGACTGGCAAATCTTCTTGACTTTTTAGGCTCCTGTTTTCAGCAGCTGCAGGTGTCCAAATGAGTAGGTTGCTTTGTAGCCAGCTTCATTAACAAGGCAACTGTTCATCTTAAGTTTTGTTTTCAGAAATGCTGCTTTAAGTATACAGAAGTGGATGAATTTGCTTTAAGTGTATAGAAGAAGATGAATTTGCTTTCAGGTTGCATCAGAGAACATTATGCTTTCGCTATCTTTTCTTACAGGTCTGTATTTTTCTTTTCATTGCTAGGTATGGATGAGCGAACAGGTGCCACATCCTGGGGAACAAGCGGTCAGCCAAGTCCTTCATATGAATCTTCAAGGGTAAGGTTCCCACATAATAATTCATAATGAAAGTTTATGGAAATGTACAGTGAATATCAGCAGATGATTTGGCACTGTTTTTGAAGGGTAGGCTCCTTTAAATACACAGATTAGCATCTTTTAGAGAGTTTAATGACTTTGATATGCTGCAATAGCAATTCAGATTTTTAAGGCTAAAAACTATATAGGTTAAGAACTTATGAAAATAAACTGTACTTAACTGTATACTTGAATGATGAGCTTGCATTTTATTTACCTTATGGTCAGAAAGGGAAAATAGAAATCATGTTACTTATTCAGGAGCAGATTTATTGGCAAAATGTAGGGAATGCTTGCCTCTCCGTTAACATTAGCCAGCTGTAGTATGTGCTGTGTCATGATGTTGGAGAGAGGCTTGTCTTTCTAAATACCTTCCTCCTGTTCTTGTTGCAGCTTCATCCATCCTGCTTATTTAGCTAAAGGTTTTTGATAATATCTGATATCCTAAAACAACACTGCCTTTTTAAAACCCAAGTCAGTGGTCAAAAGCAAGCTTTCCCTGTGGTAAATCATATTCCCTTTCATCTACTCTATTTTCTTTTTATTAATTATCTACTCCCAAAAAAGCCAGTGAGCTAAGTACCTAATGAATTAATTACTAGAAATGCACAGCATAACTGATGGACCTAGACTAAATAATCTGTTCTGATTTCCGTACCCTTGAGCCAGAGAGCTGTGTTAGCTCTTGCATCTTTGCAGCTTTCTCTTGCTGTGGAATGAAGTGGGTAGGTTGCAAGGTCTTGTGTGGCTCACTGGGTGTTGTTAAAGCCTCTGTCTGACTTTGAAAGAGAGCATTAGAAAGATTTATCTTGATTTATCATGAAGCCCTAATTTTTCCATTGATCTTTGGTAAATAAATTATAATAAAAAGATAGAAGTTTATGGATTGTGAAAGTATTTCTATGCAACATAGACATTAGGCATTCTTTTAAAACATCCTGCATAATTCAAGGCATGAAGCCCAGCCTTTAGATGCCTTTCCTACATTTGAAGTGGAATCTTATTACACAGCTTTAATTAAATCATATTCTTATTTTAAGTGTTTAGTGTTTTGACATACATTCATGATGTTGCGGATCAATTCAAATCAATCATAAGCTAAGCTGATGTAACTGGAACTTGAGCTTGTGATTCTTTTGCTCTTTTGTTCTTTTTTTACTGTAACTGAAGTTCACGAGTAGGAAATTTACATACTGGTCAAGAATTAAACCCTCCACAAATTACACCATTATACCATAAAGTTGGTAATAAAGGCAGACGTTAGTGCTCTAACAGAGTATACTAGAAGTTACAATCACAGGAAAATGTCGGTGCTATTTGGGTATAACATTAAGAAAAGCAAATGTAAATGTAGTATTGTCTTAAGCCCTAAGGAAGGCTTCAAGAAAGAGATGTTAAATTCTTATGCATGTCAGGTGTCCCTCTCCCCCCAGCAATTGTAACTTGGACTTAAAATAATTTATATTAAAAAAAAAAAAAAAGAGAGAGACAGCATACAGAAAAAAAAAATCCTCACAGCAAACAGTTCTTGCTGAATCATAATTTATGTTAGGAAAGTTTCAGCTGAAGCCAATTGAACTCTAGCCAAATTGAATATATTATTAAGAGTTGATGGAATCTATCCCCAGAATGTTACTGAAGTATTTCTTCCTCTACTGGCTAAGTGCAAAGGATTTTTATCTTACATGCTAGTATCATCATTTGAGATGATACTGAGAGTTCATTCTGAAGCACCGATTATTTCCAGCTTGTGATGGTTTTCTTTGTTGTTAAAAGAAGGTATGTTCATTTTTGTTTAAACTGGAGCATACTGTTTTAATAGGTTTTTCTTAATTCAAGCTAAATACATTAGGAAGTATGTTTAATTTTAGAGAATTGACAGTTAATACTGTCTGATTTTTTTCAGAAAGTTGGAGACTTTGAAAATACTGATGTGTAGATTTATTTCCCTAGTTGTATTTGTGTCTGAATATAATGATTTTACAGAATGGCTTTGTGTGCATCAGTATAAAATTTAGAACAGAAGACTGAATACTTGCATACAAACTTTTTTGATTTATAAACTAAAAATGAAACAATAAGGTCCACCTCTTCCCTCTGTCTCCCAAAACAATGTTTTGTATGTTTTGCCTTCTTTAAAAAAAAAAAAAAAAAAAAAAAGAAGAAAGAAAAAGAAAAAGGAAGCATTTGTTCCTGTGTTATTCACAGGTAAAGTTTTCTTCACTTTGACAAGGTTGTGGGGTTTTTTTTGTTTTTTGTCTAAAGGCAGCAGAAATCATGGCGGGGGGGATCCCCAGTAGTCCTAAATTCTACTGAAAGATTATTATAAGTTCAATATTTTTACAAATATCTTATATGCTAACTTTCTTTTTGAAAAACTTGTTAAAAGATGTAAATTTAAGAACAAGTGTCCTGCATGGACTGAGGAATAAGGAAGACTTATCCTGCAGGGCTGGGATAAAAATTATGCAGAACTGATGAGAAGTGGGCTATCCAAAGGAATTCAGAGGGTTTGGCTGATGAATACAGATCTTTGCCCAGGCCTTCAATACACCTAAAAATTTGATAATGGCAGGGGAAATACCCCCAAATTTCTATAGAGGCCCTGGGTGAAGCAATAAAGAATGGTTGTCCCAGATGTCATTTAAATGTCAACAGTATTCTTTTAAAGAAAACTGAATTCCTTTTACAGGAAAACTCTATTCCTGTGTCTTCCCTAAAAAAGTTATGAACATTAGAAATATATACTGTCTGTATATAGAATTTGGTAGTGGTTAAGAGGCACAAATTAGTTAATTCCATGTCCTTGTTCGTCTGCAAAAAGGTAGAACAAAGGAAGTTCTCTTTGATATTGAAATAACTGGAAAAGCATCGGACTTCATTTACCAGTCTAAATCAAGTTTGCAGGCATAAATTTTGGGTAAGATGTATGGTGTTTATTTTCTGGTTTTCTTTTAACTAATGAAACACATTACAGTACTGGTTCAGAATTTTGAATGAAGGTAAGTTCTGACTACTACTTCATATGCTACCAGATCAGATGACTGTGAGGAAGAGCGAAAATGAGCATAAGGGTCTGTATTTTAAGAATATAGGTCAGAGTTTCTCAAGATGTAGGGCAAATTATACACTTACCTTTTTACATTCCTAGGTTATTCCTTGTGGTGATTAACATATAGAGTTCAAGTAAGGTATAACTGTCTTACATGTTCAACTTCAGCTTCAAAATCCAGTGCTTTTTCCCATAATTTCAATATAGAATGTAATTCTTGTCCTAATTGTTCTTACTACTTGCCTGTTTACAGGAAAATGGCAGTCTTCATGGAAAAAGTTCCGATCTCTCCACAGACATAGAAAAGTTGAAACCTCAAGAGGTACCACTTATTCTTTTTATTTTGTGTGTGTTTTTTTTTTTTTTTATTTTTTAGATCTGAGTGCAGCCTACTGGAGTTTTCATTTAAAGGTGACAATACAGTGACCAAATTATTTAAGAATTTAAATTGTTGGCGTAGTATTGCCTGGAATTTCCAAGGGCGCATAAAGATATGCAATTTTCAATTAAATAGAACTGGAATTTGGTGATAAATACATACCTGTTGAATTAAATTAATTAAATAAGATGGGCTAAAGGAGATCTTCCTTTCCAGTCCTTTCCCAACTCCTGCTGATGGTCTGCTCAGGTTAGTATAGATGGTCTCATTGTCTCCAGCAATGATGCTTAAGGAAAGAGGGTAAGTAAAGGGCAAATATTTTGACACCTTTCCTGTCATAGTCTCCCGGCAAAGCCCAGCACTTGGGGGCTTAGGAGATTTCCTGGACAGAGCCAACCATTTGGACATTGTTCTTACAGCTATTGTAGACTTGTTCTCTGCGAGTTATGAGTTTTTCTGACTTTGATTACAGTTTTGGCAACAATTACAAGCATTTTGTGGCAAAAATATTGATGTTTGTCTTAAGTGTGCTGACCAGTGATTTATCTGATTTCCACCATATTCCTGTGTTCTGAGTAGTGAATACTGGTTGTTTCTGACGTACTTTATAATTCTCCCCACCCTGAAACATCGTTTTTACATGCCACTTGCATATCTCTCCTGTACTCAACTAAATTGAAGAATTGTAATCTATTGGTTTCTGTAGAGTAAATTCTCTTAATCTCTGGTTAATTTCTGGTGCCAATCACTTTCTGATTCTTGTCTATAACTTAGAGTTAGGGTGATTAAGGCTGCATGCACTAGTCAAGATGAGAGTGTACCATCATTTTCTGCATGACACAGGGATATCTTCGTTCTCTGTTTTCTTACCAAGTCTTACATTTTTTGACTGTCACTGAGCTCTGAAGTGATATTGCTTCAAAAACTGCATAGCAAAATAATATTTTTTTCTTTCATTGTACAGTACTTACCACATTGTTGTGACATTGAGTTATTTTTTAACATGTTTCTTTTGTATTTATTTACACCAAATTTTATCTGCTGTCTTATTGCCATTTCATGGAGAACTTACATGAAACTTTGTAACTCTGCACTAACGTTTAGTTAGGATTATTTTAAAATTATTTTTGTTATCAGCAAACTTTATTATGTCTTTGTTCACCCACTTTTTGATTTATTCGTGGAACTGTTGAAGAACGTTGGTCTGAGTAGAGTTTTTTGGGGAAGTGGCGGAAACACATTGGTAACTTCTTTTCACTGTGAAAACTGGACGTATATTCCTGTGCTTGGGGCGGGGTGTTTGTTTAGGTATTTTAATCTTTTGATCAATAGTTAATTCACAAAAGATCCTTCTCTCATATCTCATAGCAGTTTAATTTATTTTAAGGGTCTCTGGTAATACCTTATTAAAAGCTAAAATATTTTTATTTCAATGGTGTTTTGAACTAACATTGAAGGCTGAGAGTCACTGCAGGCTTGAGAAAACCTTATGGGCCTTAATAATGTGAAATAGTGTTCGAACACTGAGAATGCAGTGGGTATTTGTATTAGAATTTGATGTAATGATCTAAAATTTGTGAAAAGGTACAAATTGAGATACTGGTGACTTCTGTGTGCAACATCTCTTGCATAGGCCAAATGTTTTGTTAGAAAAATGAATAATTTGAAAATATCTGTTGGGGGGGTGGGAAGAAAAAAAGAAAGCCTTATTTTTTAGAGGAGTAATTCAGGAATGGTAATTAGCAAGTTAGTGGAATTCTACAAAGTGCTGATAGTCTCCCTTATCCTTGAATGATTATACTGAAGGTCCATGTACAATACTGTGTCAATTTCATCTGCGTGGTGTGGTGCTTGTTTTTCTTCCAAATCTTCAATCTTGCTTTTACTTCTGTATGTGCAGCAGGGGTGTTTTTTCAGTGAATGTATTCTGGTCCCTCCCTTATCTGAGTGATATAGAGCTAGAGATGTGTTCATAATACCTTGCATTAGAAGGGTAGCTGGCTCTTAGTGTATGTTGCAGAGGACTGTAAAGCTGCTTTTTGAAAGCCTTGCTCTGCTGAGCTCCTTGAAGCAAATTCTGAGGTACTTGAACCAAGTAGCATGTCTGCTGCACAATAATATATTGCCCTATAGCACTTGAAAGTTTTTATCTTCCTTTGTGAGATGCTTCTGAATTTTTTAGCTTTCCCTCTTTAATTGGGAGTTGTAATTTATACTCATAACATAGTGACAAATTGGTATAATAATTTAGATAAACATTGTCTTTTAATCAAACATTTTTCTACCATAGTTTTTATTGTGGTGTGCTTAATGATTGCTTTTATTTAAAGAATAGTAATGCTCTGTGAGATTTTTTTTTCATTGTTTTGATTTTGTCACATGTCTTTGCAATAAAAGGAGCAAGTTAGTTTTTCATCTTAGATTGCTGTCTCCAAATCAAACAAATCCTCAAATATTTTTCGTAAGACATTTCTTTGCTGGATAGCCTTTTTATATATACACACATAATAATTTTAACTATTAAAAATGTAGCATAAATTAGCTGAGGTATTTTCCTTCCAAAATCTGCACTGTGGGTGTTTTAAGTATCTTCCAGCATGTATATTGCACTGAAAGCTGTGAGTGTACATTTTGACCTGATTTAACATAGAACCTAGCTTCAGTACTGAATATGCAGTTTATCCTCTTTTTCATTTATGTAACTCTGCCGTATATCTACTTAAAGCCAGAGTTGAACTGGTCGGTACCACTGCTAGATTTGGATGGTTTTGTAGCATCAGTCAACAGATTGTCAACCGGTTATGTCCTCTGTTGAATGTAAAATACTCAGACATTAATTGGAACCCAAAAAGCTATATGCCCAAACTATTCTTTCCCCCCTCTACCACCAGTAGTACTTTTAATTTGCAAAGAAGTCAAAAATAGTAATGAGACAGCAGGTTTTGAAATAGTATTTTATACCTCTTAATCTCAGGTACATAACAAGAAAGGAAGCTGTTAAATAGCAAAACAAGACAAGAGGGACACAGAAATACAGTAAGTGTTATCAAGTCTGTTGTATTTGTGTCCTTTTTGTCCCTTTTTTTTTTTTTTTTTTTTTCAGGGGAGGGAGGTTGTTTGATGGTTCTTCTGGTTATTTGCTTTTCCTGATGCATTCTATAAGCAAGCAGATGATTCAGTGTGAAAACAAAGCCAAAATTAAATGTGCTATATTCAGTGCATAGGACACTTTCTCAAATGCAGCTTACTTCGTAATTTGATTTATGGGCAGCACTTTTCAAAGCAAGTTCTTGATATTTAAGTTCTGAATGCTTTAGTTAGGTTTTTAAATATTGTCCTTAACCATTTATTGTTAGTGTGTTGGCTATACTTGTATTATTTCCTGGTTTATAGCTTAGATAAGGGCTAGAAAAATCTGATTTCAGTCATATGAGCTTTACTGGAGAAGTGATTTTTTGTATGGGTTTTTTTTGTTTTTACTGCAACTACCTATCATATTGAAATTAGTGTTGGAATCATAAATTAGTCTTCCATGTGGCTAGGGAATTGTCCCATTACATATCATGTTGATGTTTGTCTCACAATAGTTTAAAGAGTTGTAATTGGCCATTGGGTTTAGCTGTTTAAAATCAGATTAATCATTCACTAAGCTAACTTCCTGGAAATGGATTTGGAACTGGAGAAAATGGCAATTATTTCAAAATAGATTCCTTGCTCATTGTGTTATGTCCCCCTTCCAAAGCTCTACCAGGTTAAAAATAAATATACAACTAATGTTTTCAGTTGTTCTCATATTCCTTTCCTGCACACAGAGTTTTCATCTATTTCAACTTGATATGTGGAAATAAGCTCATGACTCTTAAAAAGCATGTAACTTATGATGACACTTGGAGGGGACTTATGAAAGCTCTCTTGATTTTCCCAATACCTGAAATCTGGGGTAGTGATGTCTGCTTTTTTTTCCCCTGTGTAGCTACATTTCTGTCTTTAGGATATTTCAGTGGAAGGTGAAAACTTGCTGGTAGTGTAAGGGAATTGGAATTAAAACTAGAAAGTGTACAGCTCCCTGTTTCTGGTGCGTTTGGGTGATCTTCGTCGGCTCACTGCATTCATGCCTCTATTTAATAAGTATTATACATGTTTCTTGCATGATAAAGTGAGGTGGGGTTGAAGTTCTGCCTGTACTCAGCAGGCTGGGAGGTGGCACACAGGGAGCCTGGGAAGGGGAGAGATGTTTGTTTCCTGAGCACATCAGATGGGTCTTCAGCTTGGTTGCTTAGTTTTTGGATTGTAGCAGGCAACTGATGGTAATACAGATGAAATGGTCTGAGGAGTGTGGGGAGCGACAATATGAAGTTTCTTGGTGTTTGGTTGAGACAAACAAATATAGTACAGGTGATCCTCAAGGCAAAAAGGAAGAGTATGCTTCTCTGGATTTATTTTTATAGTTTTGCAAAGTTCTTCCTGATCTGTGTGTTCAGTGGACCCAGGCAGGTTTTGGCTCTGTAGTCTTTCCTCTAGGAGCCATTGACAAATACGTAGGTTCAATGACTGAAAATGCTCTTTCCAAAACAAAATGGTTGTTTATTTCTGGAAACATACATGATCGCATAATCCATAATCTTTTAAATTAGCTAGGACACCTTGGTATGGCTATTGCCCAGAGCCTCTTGTCTAATCTTAAGTCAGTGACTCACCACAGTGTTCCCGGGGTGTAGTCATTCTGGGTCTGTCCATCTGTCTCTCGCTGTCTCTGTGTCTTGCTTTCTCTCCCTGCTTCCCCCTCACTTTGTGTTTTTTTCCTATTGTTTGTCTTTGGAACTCTCAGATCAGTTTGGAGAGGCAGATAATCCGAAATAAAGTGGATTTCAGCAGTAGATTCACTGTGGTTCATTTACACATTAGTCATTCAGATGACTGTTGCCTGATTCTTATGATCATAG